ATAGAAAATGTTTCAAATTTTTAATGCATTAATTATGTTTATATGTACATTATAATTACTATATCAAGGTGATAAAACTATTAATAGACACAATTATGTCAATCAAAATGTTGTAAATTCCAAACAGTTCAGTGCAAGACTTAGAGTCAAAATTGATTAAGTAATACATTTAATTTGCAATTACTTTTTAAATGCTGTAAGTGATGAACTTCTTTCAGGGATAAACTTATTTCCAGGATAAGTTGATTTCATTCTTAAAGGTCAAAATTAAGTATGGCCTCTGTTCTTATAAAAAGTTATTTAATAAATAAATACATTTCAAAAAATGTTTAAAAGCATATATAGAGGACTATTTTGGCAGTTAGCTCATGACCCCACATTTGCAGAACTGGGGCCCTAGTTCTGGATGGCTATAAGCATGATGCATGGACATGTTGCCTAATCACTAAGTCAGGGAAGTTACCAAATCCAACACCTCAAATCGTTACCATTTCTTTGTCATAGGAGCATTCAAACTCTTCGCTTTGGGTTATGCTGAGATATAAAAATCATTAAATGAATCATTATCATCATATACCATGTATCACATCACTGAATGTAGCAGCTTTACTGTGTGACAATGTGTAGTCTCCTATTTCAGTGACTTCATCTGTATGGACCCCTCCATCTTGGCTTCCTCCTGTCTTCCCTAATTGTCAATAAGCACTATTCTTGTCAATTACCTTTAAAAAATATATCTGGTTTATTTAAAGGAAAACCTGTTAAGGAGAAGGGTAGTTGGAATATAGTTTGGTGCCCGACTACTGATCAATGAGATGCTTGGCTGAACCTTGGCAATTATTTTTCCCACTATTGGCCAGTAATTAGATTGGACTGGAAGCCTTCGGGTTAAGGATATAGGAAATATCAATTTTTAGAGAATTGTTGGCAGCAAATTCTGCTTTCAAGTATATAAGAAAGCTCCAATCTGTCTGTTTCACCCACCCATTCAGCCAATATTTATTGAACACTTATTATGTTCTACACAGTGTTGTGGGTTTTAGGGACACAGCTGTGTAAAAGATGGACTAAGCCACACTCTGTTGGAGTATATATTCTAGGGGGAGAAGAGAGTAACAGTAGATGGAGCATGGGTAAGGGAAGAGGGGCTACGAATGAGGAGATGGTGGTTACAAGGCCAGCAGATATTTAGGTCACTAAGAGCCTCTTTGACATAGCATTTGAACAAGTCCTAGATGCTGAGGATTATTTGATTTATGGGTGATATGACAGATATTTCACCATTACCAGTCAATACTCTGCTTATATGTATTGTTCTATGTGTATTTATTTAGTAGCTCATATCTATTTTCCTGACCTAGATTACATGATAAGAATTTGAGATAAGGGAAATGGGGGATTTTCAGGTCTTTCTAGTGAGTTATTTACTAGTTTTATTATGATATTTTTAACTTAAGTTAAAACACAAGACCTTGAAACATTAGCATAAACAATCACACTAAAGAGGTTAAATATAGAAGCGAATCTATCCTGGAGTCAATTTTGGTTTGAAAGACAGGCCCTGGCCACAGATGCACCTTCAGTGTGGGCTTACTCAAGCTAAACAAACAAAGAAATAAACAAACAAAAACCGGAGTCTGTACATTGTAAAGACCATTCATTGAAAACCACATGTACAGCCAGAGCCTTGTCTCAGCCAATGAGGCCCTGCCTGCTGCTTCCCTTCCTGGGTGACTTGCATTATCTTCTCATTGGCAACTTCTCACTTGTGTGGCTGAACAGCCATTGATGGTCTGTGAATGCTGGTGGATAGCATTTCACTGGGCTCAAGTCACATTGCATGACTAGATACAGACCCAATCCAAGCAAGCTGTGAGACAAATGGGAAGCAAAACCAAGTGGAGGGAATACATTCAGCACTGAGAGAACCAGAAGCCAGCCTCAGACTGTCTAGTGTTTCAGACGGGCATCATCTCCTGTGTGCTGCTGCACAGACAGGCAGAGCCATGCACCGAAAGTGCTAGATGAACCAATGGGGGACAGGATACTACCGAAGACATTTGGAAAGTATGCCCGTAGTTTACTGGATGTCTGGACTATTTCACTTTTTAACATCTTGCTGTTGCTCAAGGAAGCCTCTCCTGGCCACCTTCAGACCCCTGCAACTAGGGAGCCCTGGAAACCAGTGAGGCCTATCCCAGATGCCGAGCTCTTAGAGGGGAGCGTGAGTATAGCCTTGCTTCCTGTGTCACATCAGAAGCATAGACCCAGTGCCCTTCATACTTGTTTGAGAGAATTATCCCAAGTGCAGGCTGCCCATGCATTTGGATATACATAATTCCCAACATATTTCTGAAGGCAATTTACATGAGTGAACCACTAAAAGCCTCCCACTTAATTAACTGTACCCCTGGGGAAAAGCTATGTAGGCCCGGATAAGTGTGGGAACAACATAAAGGTGTTCTCTGTGCCAAAAAGGGGATTGGGCTTGATGGAAAATCCCCAAAAAGGACCATCTGGCAGCATAAATTATCCATTTAAAGTGGCTGGTGTGAGCTAATGACACCAAAGTCGCCATGAACATGTGCAACATCCCTCAGTTGTGTTTTAATGTCCCCTCAGGCCCTGTTTCAATTATGACTTTCTATGCTGAATATGGCCAAATATAAATTTATCCACTGCGCTCTCCAGCCCCCACAAATATATGCCATGAGATTGCATTTTTCTTTAATGAAACCAGGACAGACAATGGGCAAATCATTTCAGGAGCACAATTTCTTTAAGAAGAAGGAACGGAAGAAATCTCTCCATGTAAAGAGGATTTAACCTTTAAACTTAGTATCTCATGAGTGCAAAGGGTATGGGGACACAGGCGTTAGGGTTTATAACTATTTGCCTCGTAATGTGTAGGCATGAACAGAAACCACTTTGAATGAGGGAGTTACTAGGCCGAAGCATTCTGTTAAGTCAGACCTCACAGCCCCCAAATATGGCAGAGAAGAGGAGGAGGAGGAGGCTGGGAGGGCCAGGCTCACTGTGCGAGGCTTTGTGTCTATCAACATCATAAACCAGCTGGAGTATACACGGAACATTCGATAATAGCACTCCAGGACAAATGCACCACACCTATATACTTGATGCTAATTATCACTGAAGAAGGAAAGTTAGGACTAAATTAAAAGGGAGCTCTAAAAAGTTTCCATCTTTTAACTTTTTAATATGCATGAACTTTTCATCAGTGCTACACAGAGGGCACGGGTTACTGGCAGCGGAAGTCAGCATTTGCATTCTCTCCTGACTTGGCTTTATTTCTTAGGCTAGCTGATCTAAGTGTGGCAACCTGCAGAGAAAAACAACCACACCTGGAGCACTGCGTGGGCGACACTGGAAAAAGGACACCAGAGGATCTCCTCAGCCCTATGTTCCTCACAACACTGAGACGGCCCCACTGATTCTACACCTGCTCCCAATCCCCCGGAAAGCAGGAGTCACTGCCTCCCCATCTTACCCTTGACTTCTCAGAATCAGTATCACACTTAATCCAGAAAATTCCACTGAAGATTACTGAATGGGTGAACTGATGAGCTGTGTGAGGGCACTGGGCAGAATTGTACAGGAGTTTTACATTTTCATAAAGATTAAAAAAAAAACCCAGCCAATAGGGCATGGGGGTTTATTGTTACATGCTTTTAATTAGCATAGAATGCAACTAAGGCAGGGAGGGGGCACATAACTTCTGTGAATGCCAGACATTATATCGATTATGGAAAGTCCCATAATCAGGACCCAGATGGTTCCATCACCCTAAACTCTCCCTTCTGCAGCTCCTTTACAGTCATGCAAAGCCATCTATAGCCATAGAGTTTGTATATTGAAACACTGTTGTGGAGGAGAGGGAGGTGCAAGCTCTGAAGATGAGGGGCTAGTTCCAAGATTTTCTTAGTGCCCGTCTGTTCTTGCAGGCAGTTACTTTGAGACCAAAGTAGGGAGGGATGGCCGGAGAATTTCTTCCTTTTTTTTTTCCCTTTGCATCACTCTGTGCTGGGTATAATTCTTAAGTGGACAATACAGATCACCTTACTTCATCCCCCAGAGCCTTGAAATGCTATTACTATGGGCAGGTTGTGTTTGACGGGAAGGTCGTGCAGTCTGGCTGTAACCACACAGCCCTGTCATTGAAGTGAAGGCTGTACTTTAGATGATTCTCAAACCCCTCTATCCACTTTTCCATCTGACTTGTATTGATGAAGGCATCGGAGCCCATTCCCCTCAGCCACGTGGAGGGCAGACATTAAGGTTTGACTTGTATTGATGAAGGCATTGGAGCCCATTCCCCTCAGCCACGTGGAGGGCAGACAGTAAGGTCTTCAGAAGTCGCTGATTTCAGAATTGCTCTGAGACTCTATAGCCACCACCTGACGACCCCAAGGTTAGACCAACAGGAATGTATGTATGCATGTTAGTGCAGACAGACATAAAAGGTGGCTATGCTGTTTAAACAGTCATGATGACAATCCACAACAAGAAAAGGAAAAAAAAAAAAAAACAATGCAAGTGTCCTTATGTTATAAAAACCCAATTGTAATCTGCGTTACAGGAGACTTGCCCTGCTTTACACTGCTATCCACACAGTGGGAAAATTGACCATTTTCCTTATGAACACTAGAGTATACTTTAAAAACAAAACATTTATATATAGAAAAGCAAAAGAAAACCGCCACCTTGGCTACTCAAGAAGCCGAGGAAGGAGGAACACTTGACCCTGGAACTTGAGTCCACTATGGGCAACAAAGTGAGGTTCAGCTCAACAAGCAACCAAGGCAAAATTAAAATGCACATGGGCTCCAAGTGCAGGTGACAGGCCGTGAGCGAGACGCCACATTCTCGTCTGCCTTTCACCTCAGTTGCACCTGCTGTCCTCTGCCACTCTACCATGATTGTGACAACATGGCCACATGCACATGCTGCTTTCTTCACTTTCATGACTCTCCCCTGCTCACCTGGCTCGACTTCGTGCCATCCACTGGACTGACTGCCACTCCCTGGGGAGCGTCCTTGGCTTGTGTAAAATGGTTCTTCACCGGGACTGTCCATTTCATCCTCCACAGACTTGAGACGCTTTGTAGAGCTGAAAGAAAAAAAAAAAGAGAGAGAAATGCGTGTTTAAAATTGCTCTAAGCCACCTTTCTCCCGGATGCTTCATGGAAAAGTGTGCAGTTCTAGGACCCTCTGAAGGCTCTTGTGGATTTCGGCAAGTTACAGGATGTGGTGCCCATCTTGGCCTATGGGTCCAAATGCCGGTTTCATCTTTACTGATCAAGTTGTTGCCACCACCTCCATTCGGTGCCTCGTTTTCATTACAGAGCTGGTGGCTGGCTTCTACTTTGGCTTCCACTTAGGAAGCCCAAGTAGCTTATCTCCATAGACGTGGCTCGGGGCTAGCCATCAGCAGCATGCCTAGAAACCCACTCAAATCCATGGAGAAGCCCCCGAAAGGTTAAAAGTACATAAATAAAAAGCAGAGCTCATTATCCTTCTAGGAATGCTTTGATTGGTTGGGGGGAGGCATTTTCCACCTTTCACTTGGATTTTTCTTTCAAAAGGAGATATTTACTACACATTTGTGGAGTCCAGATACTCCTTTTGGCACTAGAGATAAAATGCCAAACAGAATGGCTAAAACTAGCAGGGAGGAGTGGTCTACAGACTTTCATGTCCTTCTACACAGAGATGAACGAAATGACATTTTATTTCATTTGGGTGAATGAAGACTAGGTTTCTGCAATGGTGTGACCAAGGAAATTCCTTAACACATCTCTTGACTTCCAGCTGAAGAACTACTGAAGAACCTTCTCGCTGTGAAGCTTGAGGGTTAGAAGATGGTGAAATATCTGTTACCTGCTGCTTATTCCTGTTTTGGCTGACCAGACTGGCAGTTTGAACAACACACTGCTGCATGGGCAGATCTCCCGCTCTGGGCGGGAAATCTGGGAAATCTCTTGCCCACACCTCAGGATGCAGAACTTTCCCTGGGTTTCATTCATCAGGCACTGGCTGTGTAGCTTCTCCATGCCAGGGGCAGCACTCAAGTGTAGAAAAGTGTGTTGGGTGAGTCAGGTATGGCTCTCCATGAACAGAGATGGAGAGGCTCAAAAGAAACAGAGGGATCATGCTCAGGCTGTGGACAAGGAACCCTGGTACTTACACCCAGGGCTTGAGAAGGACTTCTCACAGCAGAGGGGCTCCTGAGCTGTGTATAAGGGCTAATGAGATGGCAACAGAAAAGGAAATGGTGAAGGTCACCTGGCACTCCACTAACAAACTCAGACACTATTATGATTTTAAAAATATTAAAAGCCTCTATATTTTTTGGCAAACTTTTGTCTCAAGCTTCCCAAGTTGGCATTTTTCCTTTCATGCCTCAAAACCTAAGAGGTTAATGCCCCTGGGGTCACAGCAGAACCTAGAGTGGCAGGGCAGCATCCACTGTCACTGCTGAGCTCATGGAATGAAGGTCACTAGACACTGTGCATCGTTCCAAGAGCAGGTGCCAGGTAGCAGTGGTACAAGCCAGGTGTGATACACAGAAAATTGGTTCTGGGATGCTGAAACCAGTGGAGGGACCAACAGAAGAAAAGTGTGGAGGTCAGGGGAGATATCATCAGTCTGGACTTTATCCTACAAGCAACGAAGACTTCTGAAGCCCTCCACATATGTGTGCCATGGGAGTTACATTGTGGAAAAGTGGCTAGTGAGTGCAGAAAATGGACTTGGGAAGGCAGCAGGAAAAAGGAGGAGTCATTACCTGGATAAGGGGAGATAATGTTACTGCCACAATCTGAATTTTAAAATAGGACATAATTTAGGTAAGAAATTAAAATCATTCATGTGGCTGGTCCAATGTTCTTAGGTTTTAAGTTCTATTTTCATTTAGAGCAGATTACAGGAAAGCCACCCCATTGTACCATGCTAATCTAGGACCCAAGGACATGTCTGGAACTGCCTAGTTAATGGTATTCCTTTTTCTTGAAGTTTGGTGAAAAGTAACTACTTGAAAACCTTTCCTGTTTTATGTAATATGTAGCTAAGGCATGCCCTTTATTTGCAATCACGTATAGTACACTCAGAAAAACAATATATAAAAGGCAGAAAACTCCAGTGTCTCTAAATGCAATTCTATTGTCTAATCAATTGGTTCCCCTTCTTGCCTTGCAAGCAGAAAGCTAAGGGTCAAATTTAAAACAAATCTCTTGGCTAGGATTCCTGAACTAATAAGGAGTATCCTACTTTCCATATGGATTCTGGCTTCTTCCTCTACACTCAGTAACACTTGTATTTTAAAACTGTCGGCCACTTGAAATCATCTTGCAACTTAGAAGACTGTAAGTTGGGTGAAATCCCCTGGTGTACTCCAGTCAATCAAAAACCAGACTTGCATGTTCTGGCAAGACTAAGAGTTGGAATGCAATTATGCTTTTTTAAGGGGAATTGCTGTCTTGATATCCTATGATTCTTATATTACAACACTGAGTCTTATGTATCTGGAGGACCAACAGGAACAATTTGAATCCTACACAATTGACTACATGTTTTATAATGGCACTTGTGATATTCAAGTATAGACTTGAGGTACTTACTGAAGCAAGATCCTAGCTGTGCTTAGGAGGCATAGGGGCAGGCTGGCTGACATTACTCTGGGAATAGCAGAGTAACTTCCCAGGAGATTTCTGCATCTTCTGGTCTCCTAACCATCCTTATGTAGACTCTTTTCCTCGTCTTACATGTGCATCAGGATGCCACCACTTACCTGGCCCTGGATTTGACCCCCCAACACTGAGACTTTTAGAGAAAGTGACTGGCAGAGCTTTGTGGTCTTGGGAACCAGAAGTACAGATGATATCACCAGAAAGTTCCACCTCATCTTGGCTGACAACCCAACAACTCCACTTTTAAAATCATTATTATCTTTTGGCCTTTAGTGTCTACTACAGTGTCAGATTATTTTGAATGCTCAAATGCTTCTGAGAGCACACGTGACAAGAGATCATCCGAGCATCTATGTTCAATGAGATTCAGCCCCAGAGGTCAATCTCATGGTGTGTTGCTTTCATATTGTTAATATTTTTCTGAGTTCCAAAGCTGTTTCCCCCCTTGGGAGTGCTCTAATTAAATTCAGGCATGAACTGCACAGGTGGGAACACTGTATGGATACAGTTGACACCTGAGCTTGCATATGAGGATGCTCAAGATGGACACAGAATCCGCATCTGCAAGATGGAAGTGTGGATAGAAGGAGAACAGGATCCAGGAGGGATGAGAGTTGGCAGTGCTATGAAGAATAGGCAAGAGGCTTCTGGGACACAGTTTACTGACCTCATGATCTGCTCATGGATGATTATCGTAACAAAGTGCTGTAGAATAAAGCCCTTGTTCCTATTTTTACTCAACTTTTCTATTATTTTGGAGATGCTCATCCTGGAGTAATATAAAGCATATGGGAAACACAGATCATGATTTTGTTTACTTATTTATTAACTTTTATATATGAGCTGGTCCTTGATTCTGTCTCTTGATCCTAGCTTTTGAACACAAGGATTCTATTGCTTGCTTCCTACTATGTGAGACCTACCTTGTTTTGTACCCACAAGTTAAAACCATTTTCCTGACTGAGTGTTCACAGAAACCAATCTGAACATTTCTACTCGTCACTGTGCAAAGCTCCTCTGATTTGTTTTTGTGCCCACAGCACCAATTAAAAATACTTGGTGCTTTTTGTTTGCTTATGAGTTGGACATAGAACCAGACTGGGAGGAAAGACAGGTTTATGCCACTAATATAGTAACAATATTCAGACAGTGGCCACACAGACCAGGGTGAGGTGGAGATTCAAGACTCTGCTTTGCTAGGATCCCTCATTCTGTAGTTCCTGGATACAGCATTGCTGCTAAGACAATTCAGTGTAAATAACTGTGGTCTGTAGTCTGTAAATTACAGAAGGCCTGAATTTGAATGGTGACCTGTCTTTACCAGGGCTGTGGCCCTGGCAAAGTGTTTAACTACACTGTGCTCTGGTGGCTCCGCTGCTGCAATGGCAAGACAGTCTGCTGGAGACAACTCAAACATTTTTTTTTTTTGGTATGTGAATATGGGACATTCTTTAAGACATATTTTCTAATGTGTAACAGATAATTCTGTTGAATCTATATATTGAAGAATTTTTTTTCTTAATCACCTTAGGGTGGCCAGTGAGATGCCCCCAAAGATAAAGCACTAGCTTGGTAAGCCTGATAACTTGGGTTCCCCCTGGGAAACCCGTGTAAAGGTGAAAGGAGGAACTGGCTCCCATTTTACATCCTTGCAAGTACATGCATACCTGTATGTATTCTCTTTCTCTCTCTCTCTCTCTCTCTCTCTCTCTCTCTCTCTCTCTCTCTCTCTATCTCTCGTCTTATACACACACACACACACACACACACACACACACACACCAATAACAACTAAATAAAAACATCCCACTCTTCTCTCTCTCCTCTCTGCTTCTCTCCTCCTCTCTTCTTCTCTCTCACTCGCTCTCCGTGATATAATAAACTCATTAACCTGTCTCTTAGTCTCATGTCTCATCTTGTGCCACTTCTTTATTTCTAATTTAAGCAAAAACCTAAAATTTTGACACCCAAAGTGATTTAAAAAAAATCCCAAGAAGAGGCCAATAATATAAAGTCAAACATCACTGAGTTATTAACTACTGATATTTATACTAACTCCTTATGGGGACCAGTTACTTGCAGAATAGAAGAATTAGCCTCTTAAATGACAACTAAAAGCCTGTCATCCACAGGTCACAACATAAAACCATAGAACAGAGCTTGGAGTGTATGGAAGGATACCAGGTAAGGGACACTGCTACAGAGGAACATGGGACAGTGGCTCGCATATGAAAACAAGCCACCCATGCACTTTTAAATTAAGCACTGCCCATAAGTATTTACAAAGCTTTTATTGGTGACTGGGTACACTGTCTCTTCTGCCAGCAAATTTTCAAAACCCTCCAAGTGTATTAACATCCAAATGTATTCACGTTCCCCCTTGTCTGCTATAAATGCTTTTGGGATTTGAGACTTTTGTTTTCTTGTGGAGGTGAAACTATAATGAACTAAGGAGGACATTTAAACAATGCTGAAGAGAAAGTCTAATACAGCTTGATTCATCTTCAAGTTGATGTTTAAGATACTGTTGATAATGGTAAGGTAGACTCCCACACCAGAGAAAATGTCCACACTCTGGGCATTATTTTAAATCATAAACATCTGTACTTGCTTTAACAGAAATCACATTTGATAAATGTTTTTTCCACAAAGTACATAAACACCACTGGCAGTCCTGCTCTGCTCCTTTCTTTGTTGTCACAGTCCAGTGCTAAAGCCAATTTGTAAAGGAACACCATGGCTCTGATGCCTAATCCCCTACCCGTGGTACAGGTTATCTAGAGACAGCAGGGTCTTGCAAAGTGCTTCTCCAGATGTTGGCTCTGATAGCTAACTAAGGGGATCAGGAAGCCTGGCACTCACAGTAAGCTGCGCTTTCCGACTTTAGCTTTTTAAGACCTCCTGGACCACCTGGGTCCAAAGTATGACCCCATCCTGATATCTGACCTGCATTTCTTTTATAACCTCATACTATGATATGAAAACATTTGTATCTTTGGGAAACTTCAACAGAGTAGATTTGGTAACTTATGGGACCCAGCAGGCAAAGAAGGTTGTGACCGGGGTGCTTAGGCTGGTGTCATCCATCAGCTCCCACCATATGCCAATCAAGGCAGAGTACTCATCTCTTTTCCCCAGTCAAATCCATCCATCTTTCCCAGAGAATATGCTGCCTCATTCATTACTGCTCTTCTCCATGTCTTTGCTCACGTTCTGCCTCATTCAGATACTGTGACTTTCCTGCCTCACCTTAAAGCTAACCAGCATTCAGAGATGAACACCTCACCCTTTTGGACAAAGCAGATTCAAATCATGCTTATTTCACGGCATACAACTGAAGTAATATTTTTTCTTCCTGGAGAGAGAGAGAGAGAGAGAGAGAGGGAGAGAGAGAGAGAGAGAGAGAGAGAGAGAGAGAGAGAGAGAGTGTGTGTGTGTGTGTGTGTGTGTAACTTGCTATTTGTCTCATGTACATTTGCTTTGGCTCCCTAATGAGAGAGCCTATTGGGGCTTAACCCACTACTTTAGTACCCTCTATAGTTATAGAAACATTGCTAAGGGGATATAACTCCAGCATGCACAGAATTAAAAGTCAAGGTGTTCCCTTCTGTGTTTTAGCCTCTTTGGAGGTCACCAGTTCAATTACCTGGTAGAGGATGTGCTGGGCAGAGACCTCCTCATTGCTCCTGGACTCATGCTGTAGTATGAAGAACTTTCCAAATCAGAGAGAGAAAAATTGGGTCCGGTTCCTGCAGCTATTGGTGCTAGAGAGAGGAAAACAAACAAATCATAAGTTAAGTCCTGTGAATTCAAGATTGACAAGAATCTACATTAGTGTAGCATGGAACACACTTTCTGTTTGCATTTATCTGCAAAGCTTATCCAGAATAATCGCTAATAAACTGTGACTTCAAAGGAACAATGACAATAAAAACAGTCTATACCACAAAGGCATATTCTTTCTAATGTGCCTTTTATCTTTTTTCTTTTTTTGTAACTGTAAACTGTCACCAAGCTTACGGCATTCCTGGGTGGTTTAAATGAAAATACCTCTCATATTTTAATCTTACATTTTTTAAAATGACTGCCTCAAAATTTCCCTAGGTTTTCTCACTTTGATCCCAACAGCTTCTTCTTATCTATAGTTTGGAATTCTGTTCTGAGTTTTAATGAGAGTTAATCCATCCATCTAGGTCCCCCATTGCCCATTTCCTGCAATGTGAAATGTGTGCATTCTCATTGCTTTGTAGCTCATGAACTCCCTGCACAATCTGTTCCTTGAGGTCTATTTTCTTTTTGTTTGTTTGGGTTTGGTTTTTGGTGGTGGTGGTGGTGGTGGTGTGTATGTGTATGAGTTATGTTTTTGAAAGATTCATTGCATACATCCTCACTGCATACTGCCATCATAGCGAGAACTACAGCTACAATGGGATCACATGGCCTGAGAAGCCAAAGTATTTGCTACCCACACTTTATTGAAGATATTGCCAACTTCTTATTCAATTGCATTGACCTATTATCTTTACAGTGGACCATTTCTGAGATATGAGTACCTATTATTTTATGTCTTCATGCTTCTAGAGATGCCTTGCCTACAGTAGCTTAATAAGTAGTTTTTGAATGAATTAATCACATCTGCCAATCTTCTTTGAAAACTGTAAGTTCCATGGTGAGATTATCAGTTCAAGAAGACTTTTTGAAATATTATGTAAAAGCAGTATAGTCGGTGTGTGTATTAACATATGTTGCACATATTAAGTCCATCAATACAGATAAATACATTCAATATGCTAATATCTATTAGAAGAAAAGATAATCAGGAACACCAAGAGCCCAGATTTTACTCAAGAAGTAATTATGGAGCGTTGCTATTACCAATAACTGCTGGGAGAAGAAGACATGTAGATTAGAGACATGGTCATCAGCCATGAACACACTATAGGGGAACCTGGCAGATTAAGGTGGAGACAGCTGAGAAGCCTTTAGATAGTCATTCTGAAACTGATGTCAGAAGTGGGTGTCTAACCCAGCTTGAGAAGAAGAGGCTCAAGGGAGTAAAAGGGCCTGAGAAAGCGTCCCTGCTGAAGATGCTGAAAGTACAGCAGGGTACAAGCAACTGGGAGGAAAGGAGGAATTCTGGGAAGAGTGATAGCTTAAAGAGAACAGAAAATGCTGACTGGCTATCTGGCGGCTTTGTGTCATAGGACACAGAGTGAAAAAGACATGCCTAAAGTAGAGTCACAATGGATGGCTAAGGTTAGGTCATGGAGGATCTGGAATTTTTCTTTAGAAAGTACAGATTTGAGTCTGGAACATCACAAGTGTGTGAACCATCGATGCACTCACCATCCCTCAGAAGGGAAACTATTGCAGTTAGATTGCCACTGTCAAAGCATCATCCCTGGCAGCCAGAGGCAATCAATAAACAATGGTCATATGTGCAGGAGGCTGTACTGAGTTTTATTCGCCAGACAACGAAGAGCTGGCAGCTTATGGGGATGCCATCAGTTTTGCATTTAGAATCTCTGTCACTCATGAGAGCAAGCATGGGAGAGAAGGGGTGGTTGAAGAATTGGGTTAGTAAAACTAGAGGCAGTGATGTCATTTAAACAAGAAGATGAGGTGAGATGATACCAAAGGATGGCCAGGAGGAGCCAGATATTAGTGATTTGCTGGCAGTTCACTGTGGCAGGAATGAACACTTCTTAGGACAGTTGCTTGGGAGGCAGGATGAATTGTATAATACCTTAAATAACTATGGAGTCAGAAGACACGAAGGAATAGAGCAATTTCTAAGGATGTCCATTGAGTTGGCTATTAACAATGACTAAATCTCAAGCATAGCTGCCATGTAAAAACAATTCTTTACTAAGATATGGAAAACTGAAAACCAAATACCGTGTCTCAATAACAGGCTTTAATAAAAGGGGAGGGCCTTTAGCTCATCTTGACAATAGTGTAAACAGATTCCCACTCAATAATGTTGCTAGCCATTCTATCATTTGCTTTTTTATTCAATTTATTTGCATAATTTCATATTTTATTCCACAATATTTTATGTATGAAATGGGCCATTATGCAAGATGGCCCCTGTCACTCATCATTCCCCTAGCAGCCTGACATATAAAATAATATGGCAGGTGCTCTTAAGGCCTTGTGCCTCCTGGAGCCTACAGTCACATCTTGGTAACTAGAGAGAATGAAGAGGCCTGTCAGTGTCAAATGTGTGAATTTAGGTTTTCTTTACAAATGTCAGGGTGGAGTTGAGGCCTTGGCTTGGTAGGAAAACTTCCTCACCCCTGAGCATGGGGGGAAAAGGTGAGATCCTCCTTTAGCAGCTGGATGTTATAAGCAGAGTCAGGATGAGTGGCGAGGCCTGGCCTGGACTGAGTGGGGGAACTCTGAGGCATCTACACAGTGGTGGACATTGGCACTTTCACTGAATACTTCATGCACTGTGTGGTCTATCATAGGAAAATATCTTTTTCCTCTGTTATCTTTTAAAAATAACAAGGGAGCCAGAATATGTGAAGGAAGGAAGGAACATGCATATATAAAGATAGTGAACTACCACTACACAGATTTTAAAAAATAACTCAGCCCACCTACATGTTCCTTGATGTGCCCTGTATTGACCTCCTATGACCCATGTAGTTTGCAGTAGTGGAGATTCAGTGAAGGTCCCAGATAGCCTGGTCCAAAGTGCTCAATGGATTCATGGTAAGTGATTTCAGAGACTGGCAAACATGCACATCTAAAATTTTAAAACATTCCTGAATCTAAAATGAGAATGAGCTTCTCATCCTGGGTTAAATAATCCTAACAATGCAGAGACCCACACTGTGCTTTTCATACCAGGTCCTAGTACACACATGTTCCTACCACTGTCCATGCAGACAGCCCATACTTGTGACCAGCAAGGACAGGGCCTCACACCTAAGTGCAGGCCTCTTGTCACGATGTCACTACCACAAGCACAGCACCCTCAGAGCCTTCCATCTGGAGAACAGGCAGAGCCTTTGATAAGCAATGAAGACAGAACAGCAGAAGGAAACTGTGGGTAGGCCTTTGGAGACCTTACAAGACCATGTATCTAGGAAATACTCTAGCCATGTATCATAATAATTATGATAAACATGCAAAACTGGCCTCCAGGGTTACCATCACCATCATCATCATCATCATACTCTTAATGCAGTTTTTCATGGGCCAGCAGCTAGACTAATATCCTTAAGCCTATCCTTCCATTTAATCCTCACAGTGCCACCAGGAAGGAACTGACGCACAAAGACATGGAACAACTTCCCCAAGTCATGAAGACAGATCAGACCCCCTGAACTTAAGTCATCCATATCCCAGAACTGTCTCTGTGTCTCTAAACAGCTCACCATCCTTTGTGTAGACAGGTGAAGATCAATAAATACACTTTGAATTAAGGACACAGTTATCATCTCCATTTACCTCCTTCAATTTGGAGCAAAAATGAAAGTGTATTCTATAAATATGCATAAGCATAGAGGAAGAGGCCCCTGTTTCTTAAGCAATATTGCAATTATTCTAGCATAAGCATCTTGTTCACCAAGGAGTTTTTCTCAAAAGGTTAACTTTGGAAATTGTGCCTTCAGATGTTATTTCTAAGTCATGCATCTTCCCTTCCCCCTCTTTCCTGTCACGAGTAGAATGTACTCTGTGTCATTTCTTAATAAATGGTTTGCTATTAAGGCATCATTATAGTAATGTGGGCTATTGGAAGAAAGGGGTTACTTCAGTAGCCAACCCTCTTGATGACCTGCTCTTCTGTACACATTAGCAGTTGGAGAGGGCTGTGGTTATTGAACTTCTGCCATCCACCAGAGACAATCTGCTCAGGGTTGCATTGCTGGAAAGAGAGGACTATGGGAAAAAATTCTATCCAAATTTCCAGGCTCCTCTGCCTGGGAGATGATGGTGCCGAGTTTATGGCTTGTTTGACAGGAACTGGCAAGAAGGATTATCAAAATGTCTACCCATGTGTCCAGTCTACGGTTAAAGGCACACAGGCTGCATTTCATGGGACACAATGTGTATGTAAAAAGCCCCTTTGGTACCTTAGGCATTGTTTCAGAAGCTTAAAAACAGTGGACGGGACACGAAAACTTCTGCCCTTGAGAGGCTTACCTTCGAGGGAGCAGACATCACAGTTGTCTTCCCTCAGATCTACATGCTCCTTCTCCAACATTTACAAAGGGAAAAACACAAAAAACAAAACAAAACAAAACAAAAGGAAAATGGGCCACAGATCCCTTCAAAAGACTATGAGCACTCAGCACACAATTTCTAACTTGTAAAATAGCTATGAAAAATTAAGACATCTTTTTCTTTCAATTGTATGACCAAAAACACTCCCAGAGAGTTTGGAGCTTACATTGTTGACTGGGGGCTGGGGACTCCAACAATAGCACACAGTTCTGTGCCGGAACAATTTCATGTTGTTTTGCATTCCATTGGCAAAGGTCCTATAAGAAAGTCCATGTCACTGCCACAAAAGGAGCGAACATGGGAAAATACTTGTTCTTCTTTCCATCAAAGGCTCAGTTGTAAGACACACAATGCTATGAAAACTGGCAAATCTGGAATCATCGTTAAAGGAAATTAACTTGGAAAGTAATTTATGGCAAGAAAATCCAACTCCTTTGTTATCTCCCTTTTACTGTAATATGTTTCCTGAACACTGCCTAAAAGAGAGGGCTTTTAGAAAGAAAAAAAATAAGTATAGTAAAATTAA